GGCCAGGTCCGTGACTGAAGGTCCTGGTTCAGGTGCAGTGGAGAATGATATGTGGGGGCAATCCTGGCTCCAACTTTGGTCCCTCAAGAACTGCAGAGAGCTTGGATCTTGCAGCAGAGGAGATCCATCGTCTGGAATTAGCAACTGGAGCTCACATTACTCATAAGATCTGATTCCCCACTATAACACTGTTATTTGTAAAATTTAAAAAGTGTGTGAATCAAACCTTTTATTAATTTTTCATGGATCAAGTGCCCATTTTTTTAGCAGGTACCACAATTGGGCAGTGAGTAGCAAAAGTGCTATGTCCTTTCCAGCCCATTTCTCCCATGGCCAGACCCCTCTGTCTGTGCCTCTGGTGTGGGGGAAAGGAGACCAGCTCCTGTGACTATTGTGTTTGCAGAACCAGTTCTGTTGTCTTCTCCTTCTCCTTCTCCTTCTCCTTCTCCTTCTTCTTCTCCTTCTTCTTCTTCTTCTTCTTCCAGTTCTAGGGGTTGAACCCAGGACCTTGCACATGCTAAGCAAGCAATCTGCTACTGAGCCATATCTCTCACACTACAGAACCAGTTCTGGAAGCCTAAGTCTGGCAGCTACTGTAGCAAATCAGATTGAGCCTTCCCAGATCACACACACAGCTCTCGGATTTCTTTTTGCCAATAAGTGATACACATCCACAAATCTGAATGAGTTCTTGTTAGCTGTTGCCCCAATCTTACCCTCAGTTACTAGTAAAACCATCTTTCAGAGCAATTTCCATCACACACACACACACACACACACATACACACACACACATTTATTAAACAGGTGATCACCAAGAAGTCACTGGGCCACTCTTGCATCCTGTCCTGAAAGGTGAATGAAGACATAATCCTCTCTCCTTCTGGGTGCTGTATCCATATCTTACATGAAAGCTTCACTCAGTGCAAGATGCTGTCTTCCAAATCAGCATTGAGCAACTGGAAATCCAATCAGGGGCTGGCCACACCGGGTGCATTGAGGTGCCAGTCTCAAAGGCACAGGCTCCAAAGGCCTACCTTGTGTTGTGTCACCTCAAAGCTGGGCAGAGTCTCTACAATATTCTAGCCAATTCACATCTCATAACTAGTAGTAATTTCACCTGGGAGAGGGAGGTGATTTCCAACCTCCAACTGTGCTGTGTATCCAGTCCTTAACTTTTCCAAGGAAAGTCCACCTCCAACATTCAATTTACTAACTAGAAAAACATCTGGTGAACAGATGTTGTTATCATCTGGATAAGAAATGCTCCCACCCCAAAGCTCCTGTGTCAATGCAGGGAAGATTAGATGATTAGATTGTGAAAGCTGTCACTTCTTCCCGCCATACCATATGAGCAGATCGACTGTGTTGTAGCCGTAGGCAGGAGGGTGAGGCTGGAGAGGGTGGGTCACTGGAGTCCTGTGCTGGAAGGCTTCTTCTTCCCTGTGGCCCGTCCTTCCTCTCTCTCTCTCCTCCTGGCTGCCATGAATGGAGCAGAGCTCTTCCCCATGCCCTCTGCCAT